CCCGAAACGTCAGCTTTCCTGCTCCTCTGATGCTGCTTGGCCTGCTGTGTTCATCCAGCTCTACACCTTGTTATCTCAGATTTTCCAGCATCTGCAGTTCCTACTATCTCTGGGGAGGAAGATGGACAGGTTATGTCAGGTCAAGGAGGCGAGATGGAGGAGGGATGGGGCTGGGTGAGGGGAGGTGGAATAGTGATGGCAACATGTAGCTGCTGCTTATTCCTCGCTTTAGGCGTTGGGTCTTTGCAAGGTGGTAAGGTGGTGGGCACAAAGAAAGAGATTGCAGAGCCTTACAGAAGCTCTACACAAGCACAAGGAGCTTCAGTGTGAGTTCCCCATCCCACTCCCCCAACAATCCCAGTCGTCCCCTACCAAACCCCAAACACCCAAATTCCACCTCACCCCAATCCCCATTTTGCTCCTTATCCTGGTTCCCCTCCCTCAATCTCAATGCCCTTATCCCAATACCCTCTTTCTCTAACACCTCACAATTCCAATCTACCACCCAATCCCCCTGCAAATTCCTCTGTCCACCTGCTAGAAGTAGATATTGAGAAGTGTCCTATTAGAGAGATCTAATGAAGGATCACACAAGAAAAATTAGCCTGTCGTCTTGTGTTTCCAGTGTTTCTGCTTTTAAATTTTAGAATTTTACAGTAATGAAGGAGGTCATTTGACCTATTATGTTTTGAAAGAACCACCCAGCTAATCCCACTCTCCAGCCATATGTCCGTAACCCTCTAACTTCATCACTTTCAAATATATATCCTGCTCTGTTTTGAAACCTCCTATGGAATTCGCCTGTATCCCTCTCCCAGGCAGCGCATTCCAAATCCTAACAATTCCCTGACAAAGAGGTTTCTCCTCATCTCACTCCTAACTCTCTTGCTGACTATCTTGAAGTTGTGACCCCTAGTTACTGGCATAGCAACTGGTAGAAACAGAATATCTTTCTTTACCCCATCAACATTGTTCATAATTTTGAACACCTCGATAAGGTCACCTCTTAATCTTGTTGAGTCCAAGGAAAACAAGCCCAGTTTCTCTCATTTGTCCTTGTATCTAAAATACCTCATTCCTGTTTCATTCAAGTAAATCTCCTCTGCCTTCTCTTCATGACTTTAACATTCTTCCTTAAATAAGGTGCCCAGAACGGAACACAATACTCCAAATGTGGTCTGCCTAATGATTTGGGAAGGTGTAGCATCACTTCCTTGTTTTTATATTTTATGACTCTATTTATAAACCCAAGGACGCTATAAGTTTTCTTAACAACTGTTTCAACTTGACTAGCCACCTTCAGAGAATCATACACGTGAACCCTTGAACTCCCTTGCTCCCATACTCCCCTCAAAGTTGTACTATTGAGCCTGTATTGTCTCTCCATGTTTCTTTTACCGAAATGCATTTCCTCACATTTCTTTGCATTGGATTACATCTGCCAGGTGTATGCCCATTTGGCCAACTTGTCAATGTCCCTCTGAAGGCACTCAGCATCATCCTTACAAATCACTGTTCTCTTTAGCTTAGTATCTTCTACAAATTTAGAGATTTCTGCCCTCAACACCCGTCTTGAAATCGTTCATAGAAATCATCGGAAACAAGGGACCCATCACTGATCCCTGGGGGACACCACTCGCAACTAGTCTCCAATCTGAGAAATACCCATCCATACCTACCCTCTGTTTCCTATCTTTTAGCCAACTTCTAATCCATGCTGCCAAGGACCCATCAATCCCAAACATTTCCAATTTGCTAACCAACCTGCAAGTGGCATTGTCTCAAATGCTTTCTGAAAATCCAAATACATAACATCCATGGTACTACTCTCATCCACTGCCTGTGTCACCTCGTCAAAAAACTCAATCAAATTTGTCAGACATGACTTGCCCTTGACAAAGCCATCAGAGATAGCAAGAACTGTGGATGCTGGAGTCAGAGATGACACAATGTGGGGCTGGAGGAACACAGCAGGCCAGGCAGCATCAGAGGAGCAGGAAAGTTGATGTTTAGGTTCGGGACCTTTCTTCAGAAACAAAACTATGTGGACTGTCTAGTATTAATTTATTTTTCTCTAAGTGTATATTTACCGTATCTCATATTATGGCCTCCATTGGTTTTCCCACTATTGATGTCAAGAATTTTGACTTTTGTAAAATCAGTTGTATGGTTGAGAACAGACACATCAAAAATCAATAGGATGTTGGAATTGATGTTGAGCTTGAATGACATATAAAGTCAACAGAACATGAAGCAAACACTCTGTGTCTGTGGCATGGTTAATATTTCAGTTTCAAACTTCTGCAAAGAAATACATGCTAAAACATTAGATGATAACTTCTCCCTCATTGCGATATTTATTATATTGAATTGCTTGAAAACCAATGGATAGAATTTTGGAGATTGGTTACTGATGAAAAATTAATTTCACTAGAGCATTGCAAACCCAGAAGTTACCTGGCCTGCACAGAAATGTTTTCTTGGTTACTTAGGGAAGTGAGGGTGGAAACTGGAGAGGCTCAGGCCGAAATCTTTGAATTCTCCTTGGATGTGAAGGTGAGGCTGGAGGATCAATATCTGAAATGTCACAGTCCGTTAGAACAAAGAAGAGAAGGAGAGAGATAAAGCAGCAAACAGTCTGTCACTGGAGGGCAAACCTTTAGAGACAATAATCTGGGACAAAAATGAACTCTCAATTCAAATAATTGAATAAATGATGCCATGCATTTGCTAACTGACTAACTTAAGTTATTTGAAGTCTCAGAGGGTTGTTGACGGAAGTGGGTTGAATAGTGTATATTACCTTTCGATAAAATCTGGTTTACTACTGTCCTTTAGGAAAGGAAATCTGCCATCGTTACCTGGTCTGTCCTTAATGTGACTCCAGATCCACAGGAATGTGGTTGACTCTTAACTGGTCTCTGAAATGGCAGTGTTGTATCAACTGCTAAAAAGTGTCAAATAAATGAAACTGGATGGACGAGTTGGCATTAACCTGGGCACCAGAAACAATAGCATTCTCAGCCCTGTCAACCTTACCAAGTCCTCTTTACCCTCAGCTGGAAGCAAGTGCCTAAATTGGGAGAGCTGTCTCACTAGGATAGTGGGATACAGTCGAGAGAGAGTTATCCTGGGAGTTCTTAACATTGATTCAGGACCCCCTGAATTCTCATAGCTTCAAATCAACATGAATAATGAAACATCCTGCTAATCACCATTGTCAGTCTCCTGACTCCTCCTCAGCTAATAAGTCAGTGCTCCATGTTGAACAACAATTGGAGGAAGCACTGAAAGTGGCAAGGGTGCAGAATGTACTCTGGTTTGGAGATCTCAATGTCCAATACCAAGAGTGGCTCTGCAGCAGTACTATTGATCGAGCTGGTAGCCAGCAGGAATTAGAGAAACAGATATGTAAGCAGATTATGAAAAGATGAAAAATCAACAGGGTTGTGGTAGTGAGTGATTTTAATTTCCCCAATATTGACAGGGGCTGTCTTAGCACCAGGGCCTTAGATGGGGCAGAATTTGTTGGTGCATCCAGGAGGGTTCCTTGAAAAAATGTGTAGGTAGTCCAACAAGGGAAGAGATCATATTAGGCCTCATACTGGGGAATGAGGCTGACCAACTGATCAAGATTTCAGTGGGGGACCATTTTGGGAACAATGATCATAATTCCATAATTTATAGAATAGAATCCCCTACAATGTGGAAGCAGGCCATTCAGCCCACACTGACCTTCTGAAGAGCATCACGTCCACACCCAACCCTTTCCCTGTAACCTGCATTTCCCATGGCTAATCCACCTAGCCTCTACATCCCTGGAAGCTATGGGCAATTTAGCATGGCCAATCCACCTAACCTGCACATCTTTGGAGTGTGGGAGGAAACTGGAGCACCTGGAGGAAACCCATGCAGACATGGGGAGAACGTGCAAACTCCACACAGTCGCTCGAGGGTGGAATTGAACGCGGGTCCCTGGCGCTGTGAGGCAACAGTGCTAACCTCTGAGCCACCGTGCCACCCCATAAGTTTTAAGATAGTTATGGATAAGGATAAAAGTAGTTCTCGGGTTAAAGTGCTAAATTGGGACAAGGCTGATTACAACAGTATTAGGCAGGAACTGGAGAATTTAGATTGGGTGTGGCTGTTTGAGAGTAAATCACCATTGGACATGTGGGAGTCTTTTAAAGGCCAATTGATCAGATTTCAGGACCTGTTCCTGTGAGGATGAAAGATAAGGAGGCAAGATTTGGGAACCCTGGGTGACAAGAGGTATTGAAAGTTTAGTCAAAAAATAAAAGGAAGGATATCTACGGTTTAGGAAAGAGAAATAAGATAAGGCCCTTGAGCAATTTAATGGAAGGAGGAAAGTACTTTGTAGTGATTGTAACGAGGTCAGCCAGCTGGACCTCATAGAATATGAGTTCCCTGATTGGTGCTGTTAACCTGGTCCAATTAGGGAGCCCTGGCTGACAAATATATATAGGAGTATCAGAGGTTTTGCTCACTCTGAGAACTGGCTCTGAGGAAACTGGACCAGTGTTGAGTACTATGTTTGTGTAAATAAAGGGTGACTTGGTGATGAGATACTGGCCTCTGAGGAGTTATTTCATAGTTATACAAGGAATTAGGAGGGCTAAAAGGAGGCATGAAATGTCCTTGGTAAGTAGGATTAAGGAGTATTGCAATGCATTTTATATGTATATTAGGAGCAAGTGGGTAGCTAGGGTAAGGATAGATTCAGTCAAGAACAAAAGAGGAATTTATCCATGGAGCAAGAAAGTGAGTGAGGTCCTTAATGAGAACTTCACCTTGGTATTCACCAAGGAGAAGGATCTGCATAATGGTCAGATTAGGGAGGGGTATGTTGATATTCTAGGGCATGTTGATATTAAGGAGGAGGTGGTATTGGGTGTCTTGAAAAACATAAAAGTAGTTGGACCTGATCAGATCTATTCCAGTGTACTGAGGGAGGCAGGGAGGAGATTGCTGAGGCCTTGACAGAGATCTTTGTACCCTCTTTAGCCATGGGCAAGGTCCCAGAAAACTGGAGAATAGCTAGTGTTATTCCTTTGTTTAAGAAGGGCAACACAGATAATCCAGGAAATTATAGGCCAGTGAGCCTTGCATCAGTTGTAGGAAAATAATTGGACAGATTCTTGGGGACCAGGATTTGGAAAAATATTGACTTATTAGGGATTGTCAGAATGGATTTGTGCAGGGGAGGTCTTGTCTCTCAAATTTAATTGAGTTTTTTGAGGAAGTGATGAAGATGATTATGAAGGTTGGGTAGTGGATGTTGTTTATGTGGACTTTACCAACTTGTGACAAAACCCCTCATGGTAGGCTCAATCAGAAGATCAAGTCACACGGGATCCACAGTGAGTTGGAAGTTGTAGTCAAAATTGGGTTGGTCATAGAAGATAGAGAGGGTAGTTACGGAGGGGTGTTTTTCTGACTGGAGGTCTGTGACAAATGGTGTTCCACAAGGAGCAGTGCTGAGACCTCTGATTGTAGCGTGGAGAAATGATTTTAATGAAAATGTAGGTGGTCTGATTAGTAAGTTTGCAGACAACACAAAAATTGGTGGAGTTGTGGATAGTGAGGAAGGTCATCCAAGAATACAGCAGGATATAGATTGGTTGGAAAGTTCGGCACTGAAATGGTAGATGGAGTTTAATCCAGATGTGTGTGAGGTGATGCAGTTTGGGAGGTCAAATGCAAGAGGAATTTCTACAGTAAATGGCAGGCCCCTTAGGAGCATTGATATACAGAGGGATCTTGGGTGCAAGCCCATAGCTCCCTGAACGGCAACACAAGTGGATAAGGCAGTAAAGAAGCTGTACGGTATGCTTGCCTTCATTGATCAGGGCACAGAGTATAAAAGTTGGTGAATCATGTTGCAGCTGTATAAAACAGGCCACAGCTGAAGTATTGTGTGCAGTCACCACATTATAAAGAAAATGTGGAGGTTTTGGAGAGGTTACAAAAGCGGTTTACCAGGAATGCGCCTGGATTGGAATGTATTAGCTATAAAGAGAGGTTGGACAAATTTGGATTGTCTTCTCTAGAGCATTGGAGGCTGAGGGGTGACCTGATACAAGTGTATGGAATTATGAGAGGTGTGGATAGCTGGAATCTTTCCCCAGGATAGAAATGTTAAATAGTGGGGCACTTGGGTTGAAGGTGAGAGGGGAAGAGTTGAAAGGAGATGTGTGAAGCAGATTTTTTACCCAGAGAGTGGTAGGTGCGTGGAACGTGCTGCCAGGGGAGGTGATAGAAGCAAATACAACAGCAGTGTTTAAGAGGCGTTTAGACAGACACACGGACGGTGCACAAGCAGATGGGATTAGTTTAGAATGGCATCATGATCGGCACAGACATAGTGGGCCGAAGGGCCTGTACCTGTACTGAACTGATCTATGTTCTATATGAAATATTTGAAAAGGAGAAGCTTATGATAAATAGGGCAGTGAGCCTAACTGGAGAGATTTATTAAAGAACCAGCACGAGATGAAGGGCTCAATGGCCTCCACCAGTGCTGCACTTTTCTATAATTCTGTGAGAATCACACCGATGCCAATATTGCATAAATTCTACCTTCCACGGAATGTTACCATTATTTCTTTGCCACATCTATCCATGTGTTTTTGAGGGACCTCACTATATCTTTATTTAAAATTTAATGGAAAGGAAGAATCACTATTAATATAAACACCTTATCAAATACTCAGCACACGCAGCAGTCCAAATACTCATGCTTTCCAGTCTAACTCCAAAAAGACGACCACGTATACCCGAGATACGCTCGGTACTACTAAGAGATTTACTGCACTGACCAGAGTTAGTGAGGGAGCGCCGCGCTGTCGGAGGGTCAGTGCTGAGGGAGCACCGCGCTGTCGGAGGGTCAGTGCTGAGGGAGCGCCGCGCTGTCGGAG